ATTTCCTTAATCTCATCGGTTACTGTGCGGAGGAGGAACCTTTTACTAGGATGATGGTATTTGAGTACGCTCCAAACGGAACTCTTTCTGAGCATCTCCAAGGCAAATTTCAATCTCCAATTTTTTTTTTTTTCAAAAAAAAACCGTGAGTTTTACAACATCTAATTTCATTTACGGGTGTGTTGTTGACTTCAGATCAAGAACTCGAACATCTCGACTGGAGTGCAAGGATGAGAATTGTAATGGGAGTAGCGTATTGTCTACAGTACATGCACAATTTGAATCCGCCTTTGTCTCATTCCAACATGACTTCAGATAACATATTCTTGACAGATGATTATGCTTCTAAGGTTGTAAATCTAATTTAAGTTGACATGTTATAAGTTAAAACATCTAATTTAAGCGATTGTTTCTTCACAGATTGGAGAGATCACCTTCTGGGATGAATTCACAGACAAGACAAAGCTAGGGGAGAACGAGGATTCTGAGCTGCCACCACTTCCAGAACCGGAAACAAATATCTACAGCTTTGGACTTATGTTACTCGAAATAATTTCGGGGAAGCTAACTTACACAGAAGAGCAAGGCCCTATTCTGAACTGGGTAAGTCTCGATTTCTTTTCTCTTTGGCGAAAGTTCGACTAGTTTTGCAAGTTTAGCCCCCTTTAGCTCCCTTTAGAAGCTTTCTTAAAAAGATTGTGGGTTTTTATAGGCTACGCCTTTTCTGAATGACAAACAAAACATCAACAAATTGATTGATCCAACATTGAAGTCCTACAAGGATAACGAGCTAGCGGTCATCTGCGAGGTAATCCAAGAATGCGTTCAGCAAGACACGAGGACAAGACCAACGATCAACGAAGTCATTTCGAAGCTAAGGGAAGTCCTTGGTATCTCGCCCGAGGCTGCTGTTCCGAGGCTGTCTCCGCTCTGGTGGGCTGAACTCGAGATCCTATCTGCGGAGGCACTATAATCCATCGCCATACCTATTTAAGAGGAAGGATTGGTTCGTTTTACTATGTATAAATACACCATATATCCTGTGCAGTACTTCAGCTAAACCTCACATATATTTTGTACTAGTTGTCTCCATCTGCCTTTGTAATGGGTTTCTAGTATTGTTTCATTCTTTGTTTCACCTTTTTTTTTTTCTTTGGATTGAAGTGCGTTGCTACTCTCGTGAATGTCAATGTAAAGTAAAATATTTACAAAAAAAAAAGAAAAGAAAAAAGAAAAAAAGAAAAGATGATTTGAAGAGTGTCTGAGTGTTTGCATCCTAGTTGTCTCTAGCTTCTTAGGTTCTACAGAGTGATATTTGCAGATTTTGTGAAATTTGTAATGAAATGGAATAGAAGGGGATTGATTATTATGTTTGTAACTCTGCTAAATTCTTATCTTTTTCTAAAGTAATAGACCTTGTTAATTATTATATAGAAGGTTTCATAGTTAAAAAATATGTTTCTTTGAGTCAAAAAGGGCTAAGACAAAGCCATTCTAATGGGAAAACATAGGTATGCTATGGCATTTATATATATATTTATTTCTGTGGCTACTTTTATTAGGTTAGTCTTATGAGTCGGATTGTTTAATTTAATTATCTTTTAATGCAAGTCATCATCTTTCATCTTAAGTTGACTAAACTTATCAAGTCAACGAGGTATATTCTAAATTTTTAATATTAATTAACTCTTCGATCTATTGTGGATTGCAATTAAGGTATTCTAATATTAATTCTTCACGTACTTGTGGAGTTGCAATTAAGGTATTAACAAAAGTACAAGAAGACAACTTATTTGAGTATGACTTCAATCGTGGCTAACTACATACTCACACTGCATGCTGAGCAAAACATGGTGGTGAGACAGATTATTGATTCTGAGTAGAGCAAGATACTGAGGACAATCAATCTTGAGGCGAGCTAAGTATACGATGGCAATGTTGATCAGTTTTGGTGGCAAGCAAAGCACAATAGCAAGGGTACAGAACTCTTGAGGGATAAATGGACAAACAAGACAATGCATACCTGATAAACGCATATTTGTACCTCGTGTTTAAATTCATTATATTTGACAAATGTCTCACAAACAACTGTTTCAACTCCTAGATCAACCTTAGCCATTTTCTAATAACTTTCCTTTACATACTTTTAGCTTAGATTAGATTTAGATTTAGCTTCCTTAACATTTCAAAAGTGAAAGATTTAAACTTGAATTTCAAGATTTTAATTTGTCTTTCATTTCAATAGATAAGTTTCTATTTCCTTTATCTCTATTTCCATTATGCTATTTACAAATTATTATTGTGTTTTTGTGATATTCGTGCTTATGAATTGTGAGTAGTTAGTGTAGGGTTAGGATAATATGCTCAACACGAGCCCTCACGTGTGCGGGACCTTTTGGTTTGGCTCTGATACCAAATCGAAGCATGTGCTCCATCTCAACTAAAAGTCTAAACTGATAGTTGGATTGCACATTAATGGTTATATGCTCAACAAGGGTTGTATGATTTTTTTAATGTCTATATGTTAAGCAATGCAGAAAGAGAATTCTTAATTACCTAATTAGATTCTTGAAATTATGAATTGTTTATTAATGTGTGTTAGCAATGAATCTCCATTAACATATCTTTGGAGGAGTTTTGGCCCAACAAGAGTTAGATGAAGATTTCAAGCCACTCATTGAATATCATACTATACGAATAGGAAAATATTGACGCGTCACGAGTGAAGTCATATCTTATTTTAATTCTTGTTTAGTTGATTAGGAGAGTGGCTATTAGACTTGAGTTCTTACATATATATATCCCTTGGTTGGGTGTTCTTTTCCAATTTTATAGATTGTTTATTGCATCTAGAAGACTATACTCTCTAACTTCGATCTTATTTCCTTTAATTGCATTTTATCTCATGTTTATTGTCTTTCATTTGTTGATTTAAATGTTATCTATTGTGTTTCTAATTGATACTATATTTTGATTGCCTTACTTCTAACTTGTTTCATGTCTGAGTGCCTAATTAATTGTTTTGTAATTGCATGATACCACTCATGCATAGTCCTTAACTCCTAGTAAAATGATAATTTAATCAATATATTGTAATTTGATACTTGGTGAACACGCGTCATTCTATCAAGTGTTAAACACGTGTGGACTGTGAGCACATCAATTTGTCTCATCACATACTTCTAAAAATCGTGTCATTTAATATAATATTTTTCATACCTGAATACAATATCCCTAACAATATAATACAATCGTAATAAAGTTATCAATAAATTCGATCAGATTGGTTTTGGTCCTGGACAACTTCAATCATTGATGGCCAATAAAACACAAAGTTTTAAAGCTTTGGACGATTATTAGAAATTAGATACATAAGTTGGGCAGTTACGTTGGGAATTTGGGTAGTTCATCTTTATTGCGCATGTTTGCTGTTACACATTAAAAAGGCCGGACCGGGCCTTTCATCATGTCTTCAAAGCCACCATGCCATTCTTTTAGAAGTATAGTACTTTGGTTGACATTGAGGTTTGTATTCTTGATTTTTTAAAGAATTAATTAATTTTGTTAATGAGTTTTGCTTTTGTTTCTTCTTCATTACAACTTTTTCAAACAATTAATTTGGTAACAATAAATTTCAAATTTGACTCTTAAGTAATTTTCTATGGGCATTCTCAAGTTTGAATTGGTCAGCTATAAGACAATTTAGGTTAATTTACCTATTTATGTCCTTTTGTAGACTACAATTATGAGGCTAGAGTTTGACCCTTTGGCTTCCTAGATTGGAAATTGTGCTCTCCAAGTTGATGGAAATGTGGAGATGAATCCCTTGTCCGCAGAGTCAACGATGACAGAAATTGACTGAGAAGCTGTTTAGATGACTTGCGATGTACCTCTTTCAGCGATTCGTAGACAGGGTTCTGGAACTTAGGATATATATTTAAAAAAAAAAATGTAAACCTTACAAAATACAATACACGATGTCTTGTCTTGTCTTGTATGAATCAATTGTTCAAAAGAAAAGAAAAAAAAAAAAAACATTGTGCGGTATAGAGGGCCCTGTTTCTCTGTGAACCATTGGGCTCCAGCAAGTGCAAGCATGCAGCCACCACACTATAGAAGAGTTGCATGATTCGCCACTTGTCAAGACACTATTGAAACAAGTCACATGCAAATGTGGTCCCAACACGTGATGTACTGCACCGAACCACCCATCTAGCCCAGCATTATATTATTTTCAACAGTTTTAATTTGTTGAATATAATACATATGGTGCATGGTACGTGGTCTTCCAGTCATGGATGTTTACCTACATTCAATTCTTGGCTTCTCATCTTGCCCAGCCAAACCACAACAAAAAAGATTGGGACCATCATATGATAGTGTTTCTTGGCCGATACGCTATTGTTCCTACATGCCAACCTCATGGTTCGATATCATTCTAACATTCGAGACATTCCCATCAGATGGCTATTATTTAGTGTCTTTCCATTGACACAAACATGATGTACAAACGTGACATTGATATTCTACCCTAAAAAGTTTTTAAAATTAAGTCATTACGTGTCGCGTTTATTGTGGCTATTATTATTATTATTATCAATTTACGTCATTTTGTTTGGAGAATAAATTTGATCTTGTTAGAATAATTGATGAGCAAATAACTTAATGTTGATCAATTGAATCGTGTAACTGTGTTGAATTATCTAGGCTCTTGAACCTTGACTCGTTATCATTTGGGTCTTAACTTTGATCGATCAGAGCTTGCTACTATCTTAAGATACACAAAGTGAATTGTAACTACCCTATATTCATAAAGGTGGAGTTTAGGAAGAATGAATTAGTCACAAGTGATGAGAATAGAATGTTCTACAGAAAAAAAAAAATAAAAAATAAAAAATAAAAATAAAAAACAAACAAACATTTTTGGGTGAATTGAAAATAGTGAACATAGAACATATATTTATCTTCTAGGACAAGTGATGGCTGAGAAACACCATTAGACTCATTCTCTGATTTCTCTCTGCGCCTCTGATTTTTCATTCGCCTTCCAAAACATATCATATATATATCCTTCCTCTGACACTGTATAGGCGCGAGGATTATATTTTCTCCATCCAAGCCCCTGCGTCGTCTTCCTTCTCCTCCAATCCCAAAAAATGGTCAATTATATTCCAGAATGAACGTTGATGATTCAGTAAGGCCATATTCTTCATCACCCTTTTGATTTGTTTCGGTGCGATCGATCCGGGCTCGGATACCATGGCCGCGAAAATGGAGAAGGGGGCGATGTTGATGCACAAGTACCAGATCGGGCGGTTTCTCGGCCAGGGGATGTTCGCCAAGGTGTATCACGCCAGGAACCTCAAATCCGGCGAGAATGTCGCCGTCAAGGTTATTGACAAGAAGAAGGTGATGAAGGTGGGATTGATCGATCAGATTAAGCGGGAGATATCGGTGATGAGCATGATCAAACACCCCAATGTTGTCCAGCTTCACGAGGTTATGGCGAGCAAGACGAAGATTTACTTCGTCATGGAATATGTCCGGGGAGGGGAGCTTTTTAATAAGGTGGCGAAGGGGCGGTTGAGGGAGGAAGTTGCCCGGAAATACTTTCAGCAGCTGATCGCCGCCGTGGATTTCTGCCACAGCCGCGGCGTGTACCAGCGCGATTTGAAGCCGGAGAATCTTCTCTTGGACGAGATGGGGAATCTTAAAGTGTCGGATTTTGGGCTGAGCGCGCTGGCGGAGTCCCGGCGCCAGGACGGGCTCCTCCACACCACGTGCGGGACGCCGGCGTACGTCGCGCCGGAGGTGATCACTAAGAGAGGGTACGACGGCGAGAAGGCCGACATTTGGTCGTGTGGGGTCATTCTTTTTGTCCTCCTCGCCGGTTATCTTCCACTCCGGGACTCAAATCTCATGGAAATGTACAGGAAAATTATCAAGGGAGATTTCAAGTGTCCCAAGTGGTTCCCGCCGGAGGTGAAGAAATTACTCGCAAAAATTCTTGACCCAAATCCGATTAGAAGAATCTCCCTTTCCAAACTCATGGAAAATTCCTGGTTCCAAAAGGATTTCACCCAACTCAAACCCATAACCCCCATCGCTGATTCCCAGAACGATGAATCTCCGAGAAGCGTTCTCGACATCTTCGACGACCGCTCCACCTCGGACCCCGCCGGATCCTCGATGAAACCCACGTGCCTGAACGCATTCGACATCATTTCTCTCTCCCCAAGCTTCGACCTTTCAGGGCTCTTCGACGTGGACACGAACAAGAAACCGGAGTCCCGGTTCACGACACAGCAGCCGGCTTCCACCATCGTTTCCAAGTTCGAGGAAATCGCAATGTCGGAGCACTTTCAGGTGCAGAAGAAAGACGGGATGGTGAAGCTTCAGGGGAACAAACAGGGGAGGAAAGGGCAGCTCGCCATTGACGCGGAGATTTTTGAGGTGACGCCGTCGTTTCACGTGGTGGAGGTGAAGAAAAGCTCCGGCGATACAATGGAGTACAGAAATTTCTGCGAACAGGAGTTGAGACCGTCTCTCAAGGACATCATATGGAAATGGGAAGGCAGTGAGCAGCCGCGTTAACGACAGCAACGTTGGGATGATCGGAGAATTTTTTAACGTTTTGATTACATTCTGAAACTGTTTTCAAAAGGTTGCCCATAGAAAGTTAGAAACTCTCTGTATCAAGTTCATTAATGAAACTTTTTTGTCCCAAAAGGTTGCCCATAGATGATTCGAGATGATATAAATCATAGTAATCTTGGTTTCTTATTCCGTTATTCACTTATTCCTATATTATGACTTTAGAGTTTGAGTTTTGAACCTTAGCTTCTCGCCTTAAATATTCTCTATTAAATTAGTAAGCTAAACATGTTCAGATAATGAAAAATTTTTGGCAAGAGTGTCAAATAGTTGCATTTACTATTTACAAATGTTCAATTAACCCATTGTTCTAAATTAACCACTTGTTCTAAATTAAGATCTAATTGGACACATTTATTTTTAAAATTATGTTTGATTAGCATTTTCCCTAAGTTTCCATCATTTAACCCTTTCATAATGCTGACATGGAATTTAAATAAAAATAATTTGATGACTTGTTTCATTATTGACTCATTCAAACTCAGAAAAAACTTAAGCTGATAATTGGATTGCACATTTATGTTTATATATTATAGGCAAATTATGCTGGGGAATTGTGTCCACCTTGCAAGGTGGACACGGTTCTAAAATTGTTCATAATTATGATATATAGTTCAATAATTATGAACATAGAGTTGTGAACATAATTATGAACATATAGTTCTGTAATTATGAATATAGAGATTCAATAATTGTGAATATGAAGTTCAAAAATTATGAATATATAGCTTTATAATTATGAACATATAGTTCAGTAATTATGAACATAGAGTTTTGTAATTGCGAATATAGAGTTCAATAATTATGAATATGAAGTTCAAAAATTATGAATATATAGCTTTATAATTATGAAGTATGAACATATAGTTCAGTAATTGTGAACATAGAACCGTGTCCACCTTGCAAGGTGGACACGGTTCCACAGTATAACGATTGATATATTATATACTTAACACGCTCTCCTTACGTGTGCAGGCCGATTACTTTTTGATAGACTCTTCGCAACACGTGGACCATAATAGAGTACAATATTTTATAACACATCACCACATTTTTTATTCCCGTTATACCCTTCCCTTCATTGGCTTTTATTATATTTTTATTTTAAGATTTAAGATAAGTGTATATAAATGATATATCTAACAAATATATTAATTTATTTTATATTAATTTAAATTTTTATATAAGTAAGAGCATTCGTGAAATGAACTTGTAGAATTAAAATGATACTTTAGTGTTGCTATAAAGAACTGATTGTGTGTATAAAATAAAATTGAATTGCAGAGCTCATATTGTTATGTGTATTGTCAAATAAATCTGTAGTAATTAAAATGACAGTTTAGTATTGCTATAGTAAACTTACTGTATGTATAAAATGAAACTGAATAGCAAAGCTGATACAGATATATTGTCAAATGAACATGTAGTGAAATTTAAATGATACTTTAGTGTTACTATAATGAACTTATTGTGTGTATAAAATAAAACTGGATAGCAGAGACATGAAGTATAATTAAAATGATACTTCAAAATTACTATAAATGAAAGTTGTGTGTGTGAAAAATCAAACTAAAAAATTGAGCTCATACACCGGTAACGGACTAGGAAAATGGTAACAAATTTATTTTTCTAAAATTAAAATCAAACAACGTTGTTTTACTTCATGGTTCATACTGCTACATGGACCATGATCCACAGTAAAATTTGCCTAGCTAGCACTGCAATGTTTATATTGTGGACCAAGGTCCAGGTAACAAGATAGGTCCATGGTATAAGTTCATTTTTAGCATAATATAGATTCATTTTGACTTGTAATACACTAAAAATGAACTTACAATATAATTAAAAACAACACATAAAAGCATAATGTACATACTAAAAATGAACATGTATCAAGATCTACCTTGAAAGGTGGATTTTAGGATGTACAATATAATCTCTTAGCAATGGTCCCGAGGATGTAACTTGGTAGGCAACCTCAGCCAAATTAGTCGACAATTGCCTTGATAACTACAAGGTTTCAAGTCCTACTCATTGTGAACACTGTTTGTTGGTCTTCTTGATTTGAGCTAGTCAGCTATGAACAATCTGAACTGGTTTACCGCATTGATAGTCCTTTGCTAGTTAGGGTTATATTTGAGCTGAGTAGCGACTACAACTTTCTTGTAAATCAAAGCTCGCTATTATTATATTAGACTTTTTGTATTTAATTATGACGTTATCCTTATCATTGAAATATTCTCTCACTTTCTAAAGTAAGTCCTACCTCCACGTCACTAAATTTACAATTTCTTCACTATTTTCTCTACATCCTTACAATATTCTTTCACTTTCAAAAGTGATCACACTTTCATATTACAATAATAAATTAATATGTTTTTCCAATATATATATATATATATATATTAATAAATTTACTCACAATTTTTACTTTCACTAAATGTTCAAATTTTATTGGAAAAAAATAAAAAGCAATGGATAAAAATCATGACTCTTTATATTACATAATCAAAGCATGTCACATATTAGGCATAGAGCTGTCGAAACGGGCAGGCGGGGCGGGGCCCGCCATATGGCGAAGGCGGGCTAAAAAGCCCGCCAAAATACGGGCCTAGAGGAGGTCGGCCCGCCCCGCCCCACCTTAAGCCCACGGGCCTTGGCGGGGCCCGCCATATCTTAAAAGTTTTAATACTAAATAAAAAATTATATTAATATAAAAAAAGATAATAAATGTATACTAAAATAATGTGGATAGTTTAAACATATACTAATGTATTTATAATTTTTTAAATACAAAAATAATTAATAGATAATCAAATACATAATGTGTTAATCCATAAATCAATAACGAATAATTTATACAATTTATTAATTTTTTTAAACTTGATTATATATATATATATATATATATATATATATATATATATATATATATATATATATATAGAAAAACGCTCATATGTGGTCATGTCATTAGGTATGGTCGTGTGGTCGTATCTGGGTCGTTGAATCAATTTAATCTAAAGGCAGTGGTAATTCTGAGAATTTTCGCGCGTTTTAGTAAGTGGGGGTGTTATGGTAATTACAGTGACCATTTATAGCGGGCGGGTTCCAGAATACACCAACAGTGTTGACAACATACACCAATAGTGTAATAAAACACACCACAGTGAAACACACCAATGGTGTATTCCCGTGTTATGGTAATTACAATGGCCATTTATAGCGGTCGGGTTCCAGAATACACCAACAGTGTTGACAACATGCACCAATAGTGTAATAAAACACACAACAATGTGATTTTTCCTATTCCAGTGTTTTATGACAAGTTTACCCTTACAGTTCTCTGGGTAGGAGAATGTGCGCGAAAATACTGGAAAAAATCTTGATTAATATGAATCATTAGATCTATCTAATCTAATGGTCTATAATTGACCATATGACCACACCTAACAACATGGCCACATGTGAGCGCTCCTCTATATATATATATATATATATATATATATATATATATATATATATATATATATATATATATATATATATATATATTTTGAATTTTAAACTTGATTATTGAATTTTGTCAATGACTATATATATTTATATATTATACTCCCTCCGTCCCGAATTGGATGTTTCATTTACTTTTTGCACGCTTTTTAATGAATTAAAGTAAATGTTATACACTTTCCAATTATGCCCCTCACTTTTTCACTTTTGGAAATAAAAACAATAAAGAAAGCAAAAGCTAGAAGGGTAATTTGAAAAAAGTAGAATGATGGTGATGTTCAATTTTGAAAACTGGACAACATTTTGGGACAAACTAAAAAGGAAAGTAAGACACATAAAATGGGACAGAGGGAGTAGTATTTATTTATTATAATAATTTTACTATTATATATTTGGTGGGCTTGGCGAGCCCCCGCCGGCCTGCCAAGCCCGCCTCACCAAAGCTTGCGGGTTAGGTGGGGCGGGCAAAAAAAGCCCGTCAAAATACGGGCTCAAAATATCGTAGCCCGCCTCGTTCTTTTTGCGGGGCGGGACGGACTTACCCGACGGGCTAAGTCCATTTTGACGGTTGCGATTAGACAGTAAAAAATGAATATAGAGAATGAAAATACATGTACAATTACTCTGGGACTTATACCATGATAAACAACTGCTAACCATAAAATATAATTAAAATAAATTAAACAATTTATACAACTCCCACAGCTTGGTAGATATTCAAATAAAGTATAATACAAGTGCCAACTTCTTGTCTTACATTCCATCAGAATCTTATATTCCATATAAAACAAAACCTCAGAAACAAATCATGCTATGAGAGTATGAGGATTTAGGAATGATTTCTTTTTGTCTCACTAGACAGTATGATTCCTGAATATTACACAGATTCTAGTATTTTACTCTTACATAATAAAATAAAAGAGTTTCAAAAAAAAAAAAAAACATAATAAAATAAAATAAATTAATGAATTAAATAATAAAAGAATTTCCACTTGACCCAAGAACATATCAGAAAGCTAGGAGACAAAACTGATGGCAAGTTGGCAACACTGCAACACCCAGTGAATCAAAAACCACCAGAATCAAGAATTTATGAATGATTTTTTTTTGGACTCTACATCACTTTTCTTTTCTTCTCTTTCCCATGTAATACAGTAGTGACAATGAATATCAGATAATAATGCCAACCAATCAAATTGCAGTTCAGATATTAACACCATTTCTTTAGTGGGTATTGATTGATTGAAACTGGGAAATGAATTGAACCCAGATTTGGGTTGGTTGTGGTTCTGAGTCTTGGGTTTTTGCAGTTTTTCCTTCGAGTGGAGATGCAATCCTAACCAGTCATTGCAGGCGCAGAGCTTCCATCCTGAAAAAAAGCATAAAAAATCATCAATTTCTAGCGTTGGAATACGTCTTATGATTACTAAATAAAACGAGGAACAATCCCAGGCATGGCAATTCTGCAGAACATGTATCCTTGTTTGGTTAAAACAGGAAAAGAGGTAAAAGCATGAGCTAAAGAATGAGCAATGAAAGTGCCCATGTCTTGTTTAGACACAATTGAAGGACAAAGATGCTACATGGTAAAAAAGCGATACCAGATAGAGAATTAGATCCAAGAAAAAGAAAATCAGATCTTAGTGGCTTCCCGAAGATTTGTCTATGGTTCGACTTGTGCATTTATAACTCCTACACTTATCTACTGGCATCAAATTCACCCGCTAGCTATTCGTTACATGATCTATGGGTACTGATGTTTCCTCTCAATCAAAAACGGTTTTTTTTTTTCCAAACTACTAAAGCTCAGCATTTCCAGGAGTAAAAGACTACAACTTGATACACATAAACTTAAAAGAATTTGATCTAACTATATACAATGGTAAATAATCTTGCAGTGCATGATGGTAGCAATATTATGGTCAAAATTCAGTTCAAAGGTGATACTTTTACTTTCGAGTATGAAAACAGAAACAGAAAGGTTAAGTAACTTCAAAGAAGCCACCTTTAGCAGAAACAATGTGTTGTTTTCTTGATGATTTGTAAGGCCTACTAAAAGCATATAACAACTTAATCCTCACAGCAAAAGCGAATTGAAAAAAGAAGTAAAAACCAAATATACAAAGGCAATAGGAGAGAGTGTAAAGAAGGAGAAAAGAGCATACCCTTTTCCCTTCTCCCTCCTCTATTCAGAATCCGAAGGCAATTGTCCAGAATTAGCAGGATCTTCGAGTGATAGGCTCTGTAAACCGGGCTTCAGTTCCCGGTTGTAAAAATCCTCGTACTCCCCTCTATCCCCTCCTTTCTTCCTCACCTCCACAACTTTCAAAGACGGTGTCAATTCGAATATCTCAGCAGCAATTGTGAGCGGCCCCTTCGCCCCCTCCTTGGACCCCTCCAGGCTCACTCTGAAGTCCTTCTTCCTCACCTTGAAACTCTCCACCTTTGCAATCTCCTCCAGTTTATTCACTATCATATACACAGGTGCCTCCAAAATGATCCTCCCTCCATCTCCCCCCTCCTCAAACAATCCAGACAAATCGAATCCACGAGAAAACGAAATAATGTCAAATGCATTCAAGCTAGCGGGCTTTCGCACAGTACTTAGTCTCTTCCTGCTCTCTATCTCAGACTCTGATTCAGATAAATCAGACATAGAATCAGTCACACTGCCATTGTTGTTCTCCCCATCATCAATAATATTACACAATTTGTCATCCTCAATGTAAAACTTAACATCCTTAAATCCCCTCTTGAACCATTTATTAGTCATTATCTCCGGAATTGTCATCCTTGTTGATGGATTTGTTTCGAGTAATCGAGTGAGAAGTCGGATCAATTCAGGAGAGAACCACCTAGGACACCTAAATTCACCCTTGTAGATCTTCTTATACATAGCCATAACGTTTTGGTCGTGGAAAGGTAAATAACCTGCCATTAGAACAAACAAGATTACCCCGCATGACCATATATCCACCTTCGCCGCGTCGTAGCCTTTTCTGGCCAAAAGCTCCGGCGCGACGTACGCCGGCGTGCCGCAAAACGTGTGGAATAGCCCGTCCTGTTTTATCTGTTCCGAAATAGCGCTCAACCCGAAATCGGAGACTTTCACATTGCCACATTCATCGATCAGGATGTTCTCCGGCTTCAAATCGCGGTGGTAAACGCCGCGGGCGTGGCAAAACGCCACGGCGGAGATCAATTGCTGGAAATATTTCCGGGCGGCGTCTTCTTTGAGCCTCCCTTTGGCGACTTTATTGAAAAGCTCCCCGCCTTTCACGTATTCCATGACGAAGAAGATTTTTGTCTTGGTCGCCATTACCTCGTAGAGCTGGACGATGTTGGGGTGGCGAACCCGCCGGAGAATCGAGATCTCCCGCTTGATATGTCCGATAAGCCCGACCTTGAGGATCTTCTCCTTGTCGATCACCTTGATCGCCACGCTCTCGTCGGTTTTCACGTTCCTAGCTTGGTACACCTTGGCGAAAGTCCCGTGCCCCAGGAGCCTCCCGACTTCGAACCTCCCCAACAGAAGCCCTCCCTGGAGATCTTTCTTGCCGAAGCTTTTCGCCACCGCGGGCTTCACGGCGCTCGACGCGGTGGCCGCGGCGGTGTCGGCCATTGGTGTCAACTTCAAGATTCAAGATTCGACCTTTCTCCGACCAATTCAAATAAAAAAATAAAAAAAGAATGGCGTTCCCGTTCGCTTAGAAACTCCGAACCGTTCTGGGAAATTTACGTTCGAGGAGGAAATGCGAGGGTTGTTGTCGCCATTGAAAGGCGGTGTGTGTGTAGTTTGAGGTGCGTACACCTCCACCGTATACACACCTCACGTATGGATGTATGTATATAAAATATAAAATTTATATATTATATATATATAAGATTTGTGTCAGAGCTTTTGGGTGTTTGAAAGCTACCGACTTTATATATTGACAATTCACTATTCCTAGGTGGCGGTGGGGTAGGCTACGAACCCTTTGTGACGTACACGTATATCCAACATGTTTCTCACAAAAGATCTTGAGTTCCACCAACGGCTGCGATCTTTCCTATTCATGGCCCCACACCAATATCAATTCAAATTTTTACCTACAAAATACAAATTCTTTCCTATTAATCTCATACCTCAACTCGACAATATAATAATAAAAAGATAAATCATAATGACTCAGCAACCCGTTATATAGGATTACTAGTTATGTAAATATCAATTCAAATTTTTGCATGTTCATCACATTGCATTTTATGAGTTTATCCCAATTTTAGTTCTTTAATTATAGGAATATTTTTTTACTTTTACTTTTTAATACTCTTTTCATCCATTTTATGTGTTAGGTTCGATTAACCAGGCTTGATTGTAGTTATTTATAATTTATTTTTTTATAATATTAATTTTAAAATTAGTATGTAAAATTATATATTTAGAAATTCATTAAAAGTACTATTAAACACAAAAACTTAAATTTAAAAATTATAAAAAAAATATTAATAGAAATAAATAGAAAAGAAAAAAATTGATTTGACCAATGAATAATAAGTAGGACATATAAAATGTGACAGAGTGGATAATAACTATCTTTATTCCTCCAATATTGTTTTCATTTTTAAAAGTGAATTCTTATTTCACATCACTTTAAAAATAATAATAATAATAATAATAATAACAATAACAATAATAATAATAATATAAACTCTTTAAAACAAAAAAAAAAAACAAAAAAAACAAAAAAAAAAAAAAACTAACAACAACGTTTATTGTATAGAAGTTACTGCGTATTTATTCCCTTTTAATTGATAAAATATTCTAAAACGTACTACTAGCTACTCGCTAGTTTGCATTTGAAATAACTTTTAAATTGATCCACCAATCGAATTGCCCATTGGAAGGGCGTTTGAATGAATTATAGGACAGGGAGCATTGTAATTGCAAATTACATTTCAATATAATCAATTAAAGGACAAAAGTTCATAAGAAACTACCAACAATTTCTATTAATATTAATAATATTATTGTTGTTATTGTTACTGTTGTTGTTGTTGTTGTTATTATTATTATTATTATTATTATTATTATTATTATTATTATTATTATTAGTGTTGTTATTCTAACTGTTCTAGTCCCTCGATTGTAGGTCTACATTACATTATTATTAACAAAAATAGGATATGTGAGACGGTTTCGCGAGAGAATATCTCTTTTAGATAAGTTATATAAATTGTGTTTATTTTAATTCTTTATTTTTTAATTTTAATTTTTTTCATTCTTCTATACTTCATTATCTATTTTGTAAATTACAGAAATTTATAAATAAATTTATTCTTCAATTTTATTTTTCTTTCAAAAATTAATAAACGCACCTACCCTATATATTTGACCTAACGTAACATAAACAAATATAAGAAAGAGTGAAAGTAGAAGGAAGAAAAAAGAGGATGTGCAGTGGGAAGGTATTCTATAAGTGCAAGCAATGAAAGATACCTAATAGCCATTCAACTTAATTAACTAAAATCATGAAAGTGAAGTTTGGTTTGGAAGTTTTTGTCGATTCCCTACCAGAATATGACTTTGTATGCAAAATTTCATATATCTCTTTTTTGGCAATAAGTTTGCACATTATTTTCTTTTTAAGATTTATATATATTCCATAGAATTAAAGCACATGGTACAATTTCTTTTGCTTAAAATATAAATAGAAAGAAATAATGCTATTTTCTTCTAGTATGAGATCATAATTCAAACTTAATTAAGGGAAGATGGATAACTCTGCAGATTGAACTGTTGGCGATGAGTCATAGCTAGGGTGTCGAAATTAGATATTATTAGAGTTACTTTGTTGGTTAGACTGTTATAGATTGATAATCAAAAGATTCTAAGTTTGATTGACCTTATTGGTTTCAATTAATCAGTCAATCTATATATATCAATTTACTTAGTTTTATTGTTATCCTTTGCCGGCTAATGTCATAAAATATAATTTATTCAATGCACACTTTTGAATAATGATTGCAATTTTCCTCTTCATAAAAAAATAAAACAAAGGAAGAAAATAAAACAGGAAAAAAAATATTGCAATATGAAATTTAATGTTGGAAGTCTTGTGATGATGAATGGATAGATCTGTCTTTAAAACAAAGCTTCTAAATTATCAACCTAAGAAGTGACTCAACAGCCGTTGCTGACTCAAAGGCACGTAAACAATGAAAAATATATTGTAACGACGTGTTACGTGCACCCATTTTGATTGCATACTTATAAATGAGGTTGTTAACAACTTAAAAATTTTGAAAATATTTTCAAAGGACAACAAGAGAGATTCACATGTACATGTCACTAGAGTTATTTAAGATTGATTGAAGTTGTTTTCCAAAAAAAAAAAAAAAAGATTTATTGAAGTTGTATGATCAGGTATGTTTATAGTGAGGCAAATTTTTATATACTCTTTGAGCAATCTAACTTGGCTGTCCTCTTACATTCTTAAAGGGCGGTCCCTTTTATAGTGGGTCACCCTTGCTAATTCTAAATGCGTATATTAAAGTGTCATAACGTGGTCTTATTAAACTTAGAGGCCGTTGGACTATCGTTACTGTACCTCCCAACGGCCTGTTTGACCGAGCTTTGAAGGGGCTCTTAAATGCCAACGGCTATCTTGCGGAGCCGACCTCTTGCTCATGCCGACTCCCCGTTCGCGCCGACCGTATGCTCGCGCCGGCCTCCTGGATTCGCTTATAGTTGTCTCTGGGCTTTCTTTTCTTTTTATTGGGACCAATCTTTTGTGGGCCCATTCTTCACCCCTTCCTATCTTCTTTCCTCTTCGGGCCCTAGGCCCATTGGGTCCGTACCCCATCACATATAACTCTAATATATAATATATGTATATTATTATTATTATTATTATTATTGAAGAAGATAAGAAAATATATGGTAGATGCATGCACATATATGTATGATAACAATAGTGAAAAAGATAATGAAAGTTATACCGGTAGTGATATATTTGTCCAAAATATTATATAGTACAACTCTTATAGCATAATTTATTGAAAAAGCGTAACGGAAAAACAAACATAAATAAAGGGTATAACCTCTATTTATCCCTAATCCCTAAATTCTCAATTCAATTTATCCCTAAATCATTATTTCATCCAGTCCTAAATTCTTTCTATGAGAGTTATTTTTACGCACCTGTGCGGATGTATAAGTTTGTACGTGCTAGTGTGGAGTTCTTGACTTTTTTTGTGTTGATTTTAGTTGAGCAATCTGTGGAGTAATTTAGAAAATACACCGGCTTAGAGTTTGAAGAGCAAAATTCATGGGTAAAATCGAGTTCTTAGCTATCCATCTAGGGTTATACTTTGCTAATAATAGTCACTTTAAGTTTGAGTCTTGTAAATGGAGCAACAAACATTAGCTAGGAAGAAAGCTAAGGAACTTTTTCGCAAGTACAATTATAGACTAACTAGTGAACAAATGTTTCTCATCTTTCTACAATTATATATTTTGAATAAACATTGGGCCATAATTGAAGTAAGTATGAACTTGTCTGGCCGGCATTCATAATAGATAGGAATTGAATTCCAGTGAGTGATTTCCATTTCAAAGTTATGAATGTTGTTTATTACGAATTTAATAGCTAGTTGTTGTAGACCAAGTGGCACCATGCCAACACTCCAAAACTAATTTTCTTGATGGTTAAATTGGGGATTTATATCTCATATAGCTTTTATTTAATTTGTTTGCTGTTTTGCAAATGCCCCAGAAGCTGCTAAAATGGATTGGTTGATGCAAGTGTACATATGTCTTCCTCAAAAAGTTAAATATTACATGCATGACTATAGATCGATGCTCCATCTTCTATATTGAAAACTGATTTGATCTGAAGTAGAAGAATCTACCTTCCTAGATTCTATAAATAAAAGTAAAAGAATAGCAAAGGACAGTGTAGCAATGCAACTGGGTTCGAATCCTCCCACTTGCATTTTGGAGCTCCATCATAAGTCAAAGAAAGATTGTTGACTACTTATGCAGAATTGAAGACTGCTGGGAGGTATAAAGTTGATTGCAAATTATATGTGCATTATCAATCATGCACCGCGCGTCAGACACTACAGTTTGTCAAAACGACGTCGTTTTATTTAATGAAAAGAAACAAAATCTTTGCAAAAAATAACTCTGTTCTTCAGTTTCATTTTGTATACACTGCAGTTTCAGTTCAACACAACTACAGTTTCATTTCGATATAACTACAGTTTCATTCAATATTTATACACTCAAATATGTGAAAATGTTATTTTATTTTATATACACTATAATTTCATTAAAACACAACTAAATGATCATTTCAATATAATTATAGCTTCATTGTACAATATACACTCAAATATGTGAAATGTTATTCAGTTTCATTTTATATATACTGTAGTTTCATTTCACCACAACTACAGTATCATTTTGATAATATAAAAATAATACGTGAGATAGTGTCAGTTTAGACACACTGTAGTGTCTGACGCGCGGTGCATGATTGATCATGCATCAAGGTGCACGATATAACGACTCAAAGTTGAGCTGATTGGTTGAATGCACATGGATTATGATTGGCCAAAGTCAAAGGAAATTCATTCAGTATGATTGGATGACCTACTATATTTGGAAGTTTGACTGTAATGTTGCTGGTGATTCCCTAAATGGTGGAGTATAGGCTGGCAGTTCTTGAAATATTTTTGAAAGCCGCCCCTTCTTGGAAAAAGATAAAAGGAATAAGGTTCAAATTGACCACTGAACGTAACCTGAAAATGCAATTAGGTCACTGAACGGAAAAAAAAATAAAATTAGATTACTTAACACTCTAAAAACGTGCAATTTCACCTGATAGCAGGTTATCATCAATTTTAGCAGGTTATCTGTTTACGTGGCAGCTGAATTGACATTTTTAATAATTTTTAATAATTTTTTTTAAAAAACAAAAAAAAAAAAAAACGATGGTAAATTTAAGTGGGTTGGGCTCCTTTCCCTTAAGGGCCCAATAGTTATTCTTTTTGGGATTTATTTGTTGGGTTGTTAGAAGTATATTGGGCCATAATTTGTGGGGTCCAATGGGGAAATTTGTGCTACCAGGGAGACTAAAGTCTGTCTCTAATCATGTATGGCATTTCGCAAATTATGCTGTGGATGGTGCACTCGGTTGCAAAAACGAAGTTGTTTTGATTAAAAATGCGTGTCCCACTTTTAAAAAAAAGCATGTTTGATTTCCGGCGATAGCATTTTTTTGTGCATAATTTGAATTACATATTCACAAATTCATAACTATATATCTACAAATTTATAACTATATATCCACAGTGAATGAATAACACAATCCAGAATGAATGAACTAAATATCCACAATGAATGAACTAAATATCCATAAATTCATAACTATATATCCACAAATTCATAGCTATATATCCACAATAATTCATAACTATATATCCACAATAATGCTTTTGAGGGGAATCGAAACTGAATTTTTTGTTTTTAAATGAGACGCGCGTTTTTTAGTCAAAACGACGTTGTTTTGCAACCGTGTGCACCATGCATGGTGCACACGGTTGCACAGCATAACTATTGATGGCACAGTCAATATATAAGAAATAATTTGTTGGAGACAAAAATAACTTGAAATACATATTTTACTCTTTTTTTAACAATTCAAAAATTCATTTAACAGACAATGGGAAAAAACACAACTTTTAAAATAATTAAGGGGACAAATATGAATACATGAATAATTTTGGAGAAAAAACACTATTAGCATATAATTCATGAGAAAAAGTGCTATTTTCCATTTTTTTTTGGTGTCAACCACACATTGTGGTCCGGGTCTTTCTCTGTCCATTTAACGATCCAGGTCCACCCGATTCACTCCGAGAGACACAGAAACTGGCCCAAAGGGGATCATCACTTGTGGAAATTGAACCCAGGTTATCCCGAAATTCTCCCCCACAAAGAGAGCTCATTTGTCACTTGAGCTACCTTGTTGGGTTACTATTTTCCATTATTATTAATTGTTTTGGCCTCTCTCCAATTTTTCCAGCTAATTTCTATTTGAAAAGTCTTGCAACCTGTCGCTTTCTTTGCATCAAATTAATTCCCACCATATATATACACATCATTAAATTAATAGGAATAAAATTTGAGCACACTCTAATTGACTATTCTAAGAGGAATACTGCTATCAATCGGACTTGCGTGAACTTTACTCCTATTGCTTTCATGAAGAAAAAAAAAAAAAATCTATTATCTGAAGTAAGCCATAGCCAAGATCAAAATCTTTTAGGGGTGTGGGGAAATTAAAGAAAACTAAGGGTGTGTTTGGTTGACAGGTTTAGCACTCATAAATGGGTATGAAAGTAATTGTTATTGTTTGGTTGACTGGTTTTTAAAACATTACTATGAGTTTGAAATATTCCATTAATTAAAAAATTCATTCACTTATTTTATAAGGGTTTCACCAAAACCATTACCATTATTGATAATCATTCACATTCCACCCACCTACTAAACATGTAAAATACTTTCACCAAAACACATTATCATTACCAGGTATTTGATACCCATTCCAATTATGATTCCCATGTGCGAATCAAACACACCCTAAATAAATTGGATATTGTGACTAAATAACATTTTCCTTGCCTGCCCTAGTTGTTATATCCTACCCTAGTTGTTGTTCTTATTTGTGACCCCTAATACTACTTTGTCACAAAATATGAAATTTTCTTGCCAAAGTCCTTACATCCTAACTCAAAAGATTAGTGATGAATTAATAAACTTCGGTGATTCATTAACTCATTGTCTAAGAGGACTAGCTAGTACCTGATGTCTACAATGAACCACATTAAGTGTAATTCTCACATTATGGTTGTCAAGATTCGATCATATGCCCTTGTTCACAATCAACTACTCAAGAATCAACTGAGTTACGCTCGATATGGTGAACTTCTTGTGAGCACTAGTATATGCACTAGTCCTCCCACCTAATGAGAAGTTGAGTGATTTATTTCTCGACTAAATGGTAGGCTAAATAGAGGTTACCACAGTTAAGTTATGGTTCTGAACTGGCATTTTCGATTATGGAAAATGGTGAATCCGAACCGGCGATTCCAATTTAAACTGCTAGTTCAAACCCCTTTTTTTTTTTTTTTTTTTTTAAATAAATTTTGTTTTCTATTTTAATAATAGTCTAAATTCATCAATTTTTATTTTTTGGAATTTTCTCATTCTAATTTTTTTTTAAAAATAGTTATATCAAATATTTAAACTTTGCACCCTTCAAAAAAAAAAATTAAACTTTAAAATTAAACTAAAAAAATAATTGTTATAATTAAACTTTAATTATTATTTTTTATGGTTTTGATTCTTTTGAATCATATATAACATGGAGTTTCGGTTCCTAATATTATGGACCAGAACATGAATCTTTTGGATTCTGGTTCTGAACCAAAACTGTCTATATGGTTCCAATTTAAGTTCAGTTCCTACAATACACAGTTTATTCAAATTGGATAGGAGTAGTACAGCCAGTAGCATTCAAAAAATAAAAAATAAAAAAATTGGACGGTGGTGATCTCTAAGCTACAAGACTTAAGAGTCAACTAAGATACGTTTCTTTCAAACTCGCTTTACTCTCAGAGGGTGAAATCGCGTCTGTTTTCGCAATAAATAAATAAATAGAAGCTGAAAGGTTAGTTGTGGGCCAAATCCTTGAAAGCAAAGGAGCTGTTGTAGGAGTCAATCGTTATGCTGTGGAATCGTGTCTACCTTGCAAGGTGGACACGGTTTTATGTTCATAATTCTGAATTATATGTATATAATTATAAAGCTATATATTCGTAAATTTTTAACTTCATATTCATAATTATTGAACTCTATATTCACAATTACAGAACTCTATGTTCATAATTACTGAACTATATGTCCATAATTATAAAACTATATATTCATAATTTTTGAACTTCATATTCACAATTATTGAATCTCTATATTCATAATTACAGAACTATATGTTCATAATTATGTTCACAACTCTATGTTCATAATTATAGAACTATATATTCATAATATTTTAATTATATATTTATAATTATGAACAGTTTTAGAATCGTGTCCACCTTGCAAGGTGGACACGATTCCACTGCATAATTTGCCAGTAGGAGTGGTCCAGTCTTGACCTAGTCCAACCTCTCAAAACATTTCGTGCTGCCCACGGCGGTATATTCTACTTCTTAGTATTTATAGGAGTTAATACCATCTGCAATCCTTCGAATATCTTGTGTGGATCACGGTAAAAAAACGACATTTACACAAATTTTTTCACGTAACCCACTACAATATTCTATAGCTTTGTATGTCACCAACAGAAATTAAAGTACCTATATATCTGACTTTAATTTTGAGCTTGTTGTATGCTATAGAAAATATTAATCAAATATAATTCATTAAGCCTCTGAGTGTGGTTGAAGTGTTTCCAGCTAACTGATCCAATTTCTGGGGATAAAGTCCCTGCCGTAGACTGAAAGGAATCCATGCTAGAGCTGATTAGGAACACCGAAGCAATCAATTAAGGAGAATTGATATTTTGTATTCTTGCATGCATACAGCCAATATGTACAGGTCACATATATAGTGGGGTCGTCAACTTGAGAGCTGAGTGAAGACCCGTAGGATACGAAAGTATATATGAAGTCATATATTATTGTAATAACGCATTTTCGTTAAGATAAATGATAGATAATTGAAGTCCACTCGTTCAGTAGATTTGGTGCCGCGCAAGATATATATATATATATATATATATATATATATATATATATATAGTAGTACTTATTCATGGAAACCTTAATTAGCCCGTATCAATTGTCATATATGCATACTAACATGGAGATCACAAACCTATCTTCTCTACTCTCCTTCTTCATTTTAGCATTGGCTTTCATACCCAGCGCCCTACCCACCAACATCACCACTGATCAATCCTCTCTTCTTTCTTTGAAATCCTACACCACCTTAAGTCCCAACCATACATTGGCAAATAACTGGTCAATCACTGCTTCTATTTGCAACTGGATTGGAGTTGTTTGCGGATCCAAACACCACAGAGTGGTCGCATTAGACATATCAAGTATGGGTATTCTGGGTACCCTTCCTTCACAAATAGGCAACCTCTCATTTCTTGTTTCTCTTAACATAAGTCACAACAATTTCTATGGAAATTTGCCTAGAGAGTTAGCCAGTCTACGCCGACTACAATACTTAGATTTTGGTTATAATAATTTTAGTGGGAAAATTCCTGAGGAGATTGGCAATCTTGAGAATACAAAATGGCTGATATTGGAAGTTAACCAACTTGATGGTCCTATCCCCTTCACCATCTTCAACATTTCCACATTACAAAATTTGGTCCTCAACAATAATAGCTTATCTAGCTCTCTTCCGATGAAGCTCTGTCAACATGCTACAAGACTCAAAATGCTTCGCCTGTCTTACAACAAGTTGAGTGGTTATATTCCAAAGAATTTATCAAGTTGCTCAGAACTTGAAAAATTACAGTTGCGTTACAACAATTTTGTTGGGACAATTCCAAAGGAGATTGGGAGCTTAAATATGCTTCAGGTTTTAAGACTCGGCAGTAACAAGTTAGAAGGTATGTATATGTTCTTGCATTTGACTACTAGAAAAATTTAACAGTTTTCTGTAATAATTATATTCTAAATACATATACACTATATATGACTCATGTTTTAATTTTGTAGGAATAATACCTGAAACAATATTTAACATTTCTACACTAACTTTTATAAGCATGGGAAACAACAATCTGTCTGGTATTCTCCCACCAAACATGTGTTCACATTTTCAAAATCTTGAAGAACTTCACTTGTATAGGAACAAGCTACGTGGAAACATTCCAAGAAGCATAGGTGAATGTTCTTCACTTAAATACCTCATAATGTGGGAGAATTCCTTGTCAGGTATTGTCAGTATAGCTCTTCTTTTATTTAGTTTTATATCTTGCAATATCAACACATTTCTTATTGAACTATAAAATGAAAGACGACAGATATTATAATGTGAATCTGAGAATCAACTCCAACATGTCAACAACATTTCTACACTAACATGTTTTGCACTCTCAACACATACAAATTTTTATTTTGGTGCAAAATTAAAATAAAAAAATTATAATGTAAATCTAGGAATAGACTCCATCGTAACAACTATATTTTGATATTGTAGTTGTTCATGACTTAACTTGAGTAACTTGAATTGGCATGCATGTGAAATACCAAAAGAGTTGGGTATCCTTGATAAACTAGAGAAGCTTCAATTGTCGGAAAATGGATTAAGTGGTTCCATTCCGTGGGAAATCTTCAATATCTCAACACTCGAATCACTATCACTTGTAGAAAATAACCTTTCAGGTACTCTTCCAACATTTTTAGGTCATTCCCTTCCTAATTTAGAATACTTATACCTTGGCTCAAACTATATTGGAGGAGTTATACCTCCCCAAATCTCAAATGCTTCCAACCTTGTTGCTCTTGGTCTTGGCACTAACCAATTCGCAGGCTTCATTCCAAATTCCCTTGGCAACTTGGAAAAACTCAAAATTCTACAATTGTTTTCCAACAACCTAACAACTGATCCTGAATTTAGCCTTATAGCTTCATTGGCAAACTGTAGATACATCCAAAGCTTAGCATTGTCATTTAACCCTTTAAACGCTGTGTTCCCAAATGCAATCGGCAACCTCTCCCACACTCTCCAAAAGCTCCACCTAATAAATTGTAACATCAAGGGACGAATTCCACAGGAGATTGGCAATCTAAGCAGCTTATACAAGTTGAGTTTAAGCTTCAATGACATTATAGGATTTTTGCCAACAACCATTCTGGCTCTTCAAGGTCTTCAGCTGTTCGACATATCAGACAACAGATTAATAGGAACATTTCCAGATGTGATCTGTGAACTACGGAATTTGTTTTGGATAAATTTAGGCACAAATAAATTTTCAGGTCCAATCTCGGATTGTTTAGGGAATATTTCTTCCCTGAGAGAGATCTACCTGTATGAAAATGAATTCACTATCTTCCCTCCTATCCTATGGAGCCTTCAAAATCTTTTCAGGCTGGATTTGCATTCAAATAACTTGAACCGTTCTCTACCTCAAGAAATTGGGAATGCAAAAATGGCAATACTTATTGATCTCTCACATAACAAACTATCTGGAGAAATTCCGAGTAGTATTGGAGGCTTGACAGAGTTGATGAATTTTTCTGTGGCTCATAACAAAATACAGGGTTCTATTCCTGATACATTTGGCAAACTCCTGGATCTACATTCATTGGATCTTTCCGATAATAAAATCTCCGGAATGATTCCCAAGTCATTGGAGGGACTTATAAGTATGAACTATTTCAATGTTTCATACAACAAATTAACTGGAGAAATTCCGAGTGGAGGCCCTTTTGCCAACTTCACTTATGAATCATTCTTGGGGAATGATGGTCTATGTGGTACTCCTCGGATGCATGTCCCACCTTGCCCTGTCCATCAATCAAACAAGAACAAAGTGGTTCTTATTGTACTTGTCTCGTTGACAGTTCTTATAGTGCTAATTGCCTTTGTTTCTGTGCTATGCATCTTCAAGAGCCACAACAGGGAGGTTCCAGATGAACCAAACTTTCTGTCAGCAACAACTCCAGCAAGATATTCGTACTATGAACTCCAACGGGCAACAAATGGGTTTGATGAAAGCAACTCAATAGGTAGTGGAAGCTTCGGATCAGTTTATAAAGGGATTTTAACAAATGGGATGCACGTAGCTGTCAAGGTTTTTCGTTTGGAACATGAAGGTTCACATAGGAGTTTTGACAGCGAATGTGAGGTTTTATGCAGCATTCGTCACAGAAATCTCACGAAGGTCCTTGGCAGTTGTTCCAACTTGAATTTTAAAGCATTGCTGCTAGAGTATATGCCCAATGGGTGTTTACATAAGTGGCTGCATTCTCACAGTTATTTCTTGGACATGATACAAAGAGTGAGTATAATGATAGATGTGGCATCTGCTTTAGAATATCTCCACTATGGTTACTCCAATCCTATTATCCATTGCGACTTGAAACCCAGTAATGTGTTAATAGATGCTGATATGGTGGGATATTTGAGTGACTTTGGTGTTGCAAAGCTCTTAGGAGATGGGAATTCCATTGCCATTACAAACACCTTAGCAACAATTGGTTACATTGCTCCAGGTAAATGTTTCAGTTTTTTTTTAACTTTCTCGATTTGATTTTAACATTCATCACATAACATTATGCATTTCTAATGGTTTCCTATCAAAATTTGCACTCCTAGAATATGGACAAGAAGGGCTTGTGTCCACGCGTAGCGATATGTACAGTTATGGCATTATGTTGCTTGAAGTTTTCACGAAGACTCAGCCTGGAGATGAAATGTTCAGCGAAGATTTATGTCTGAGAAGTTGGGTGCACAATGCACTTCCTACAAATACAAATCAGATTATAGATCCAAATTTACTTAAACCAGGTGAAGAAAAGTACGATGAAAAGTTGCAGTGTGTGTCGGCTATCTTTGAGATAGGCATGAAATGCTCAACAAAGTCGCCTCGAGAGAGGATGAATGTGAAAGATGCCTTATCAGCATTGATAAAGATCAAAGCCCAACTTCTTTCCCTGTATGCAAGTATTTAGAGTAGTATGTATTATTAGCATCTCCTATTGTATCTTTCTTTAAAATGGAAATAAAATGCAGCAGATACAGTTTATATATGTACACAAATCCTATTTTGTCATTTACTTGGTCTTCTTCGGCTGCATCTTCTTTCCAGAATTCTGTTTTAAGTTTTTGATGAGCAAGAAGGACTCACACTAACTGCTCATGTAGTTTAAGCTGAAGAGAGAAGATTAGCATTGTTGTCTGAATTGTGCAAAAATGAAGTGCTTTACAAAGAGGGAAAACAGAAACGTTTTATACAAAAGCCAAGCATTTATAACCTTCATCAGTTTTCTCTCCATCCATGCTCCAGCTTCATTATAACCTCACTCACCTTGCTCCCTGGATTTAGAGATCTTGAAGGAAGTATTGGTCTATAGAATATAGTAACACAGTTATACACAAATCCAGTAACATTGTTTGATCAACATTTTGGTCGATAATATAATTAGATATAATTGTTAAAATATTTGAAATTTTAATATTTAAATATGATCGTTACAATACATAAATGTTCAAAAAATTTCTACTAATATGCTTAAATTCTACATAGCATTTAACTTAGGTATCTTATTCTTATCCCTATTGTTGGCCGGAGTCTTGGAGGCCTAATCCAATACATTGTTATTGAAACGTGGAGCTGATTGCTATGGTAAGTGTAAGGAAGTTAAAATTGCTATTTTGCTACTATCTATAGCTTTTGGCAGAATGGTAAGCCTTTGATCCTAATACTTATTTTTAAAAATGTTTAATTTTTGTCCTAACAAATATTTTTTTGAATAAGTCTTTATAAGACCGTCTCAACATATAATATTTGTTAGCTAAAATATACAATATTACCTTTTTTAGGTCCCTAGAAAAGTAGTATATTTTAATTAAAAGTATATTACACGGTCTTATATGAAATGATATTGCACAAGATCTATTTTTTTTTCTTTTTCTTTTTTTTTTGTCCGAAGAGGAAGTGGAGACTTTGACCAAAATTATTACACATTATCATAAGTAACAAACAATTTATTATTCATGATTAGTATTATATATTCGCTCAGTTATTCTTATCATAATGTAGAACTTCTTTTGTAACTTGTGCAAATATATCCTTTATAATTGTCATACGAATTATCAATTCTAGTTCCTCACGTGACAAAAACCCATATCAATTTTGAAAGTCAGAGTTCCTTTTTTTTTTTTTTTTTTTTTTTTTTTTTTTTTTTTTTTTAAATAAAATTTGATTTGCTCTATGTATACCTTTTTGTCATCAAGACATATACTTCACTACTTTACAAATTTTAATTTTCTTTCATATTGTATTTTATAAAAACAGTTTTTTGACTAAATAACATATTCCTTGCCTGCCCCAGTTGTTAAATTTGTTATTGTCTATCCTAATTGTTATTTTTTTATTTGTGACCCTTGAGACTACTTTGTCCACAAAATATGAATTATTCGGCGGGTAAAGCACGTCCAAACATCTAAAAATATAATAGCCATATATATATGTATTGCGTTTGGGACGGAGAATAGTCCCTTGCACAACTCTCAGGACGGAGGTCTAAGGTCTTTGTCGTCCAACGAAGACTTTGCCTTGGTCTTTGTCTTGAGGTCTAGTGGCCTTCCTTTAGATTAATGTAAAATTTAAAATGGTAGTTAAATTAAAGACAAATAATATGTCTCATTCTGGTTTCAGACTCTATCTTGCTCCAAGGGTCACGCCACTTTTGTAAAACTCATTGTCAACTTAACGAACAAGCTTTCGATAATTGTTCGTGTTTATCACAAACATGCTTGTTTAATTTTCGTTTAAGGTGCTTCACGAACAAGCTCATTTAAGTGTAATTTATTTAATTTTATTTTTAAGAGCGTATTTTTTAAAACTTTAATTATATTTTTCCTACCAATCATACCGTCTTACCAATTCAATTATGAATTATCTTCTTCTCAGTTCTCATTCAGTTTAAGTTTTGAAATTGGATTTGAAGGTATTAAGTTTTGTGGGATGCGGAATCTAAATTTCTTATGCTTTAATGTTTTTGGCTTGTAATGTGAACAAAGAATGTGTGTGTGTGTTTTTTTTTTTTTTTTTTTTTTGAACTTGGTATTTTGAATTTGATATTAGATGTTAATTTTGGACTTATTTGTATTATTTTTATAGTCATTATGTTGTTTGTGTTAGGGATATAATACTACGTAAAAATATTAGTCCCGAAAATAACAAGCACATACAAGAACTAAAGAATAAGAATTAGTTTGAGTCGTGTGAAACGTAGTATACCTTTCTTAAAACCTTATTTGCTACATTTTTTTTGGTGCTACGAGCGTTATAACTTAGATTTCCTAGGATAAAATGACTCTATGCATAATAGAAAATTATTAAATTTTAACAAACAAGTATTACAAGGACTCACAATACTTACATTTAAATGATACATTTATGGTGCCTATATTATACAGGGACTGTTGTGGTTCAATAACCAGACAGATCGACTACAAGATACTAGCTAGCTTTGTATGTCAACAGGCCAATATATAGAAATTAAAGTATCTGACTTTAATTTTAAGCTTGTTGTATGTTGAAGAAAATATTAATCAATTAATATTAAGCCTCTGAGTGTACGTGGTTATTGGTGTGTTTCCAGGTAACTGATCCAATTTCTGGGGCTAATAATAAAGTCCCTGCCATAGACTTCCATGCATGCCTTTCAAGCTGATCGATATACAAATTAAATTAATTAAAATTAAAGGAGATGAGCTCTATTAGTCTAATGCATGCTAGAGCTGATTAATTATGAACAGCGTAGCAATGAATTAAGGAGAATTGATATTTTGTATTTGTGCATGCATACAGCCAATAGTGGGGTCGTCAACTTAAGATCAGAGCTGAGTGAAGACCCGTAGGATACGAAAGTATGAATTGAAGTCATATATTATTGTAATAATGCATTTTCGTTAAGATAAATGATACATAATAAATTGAAGTCCACTCGTTGAGTAGATTTGGTGCCGTGCAAGTAGTATTTATTCATGGAAACCTTAGCCTGTATGTATCAATTCTCATATATGCATACTAACATGGAGATCACAAACCTATCTTCTCTACTCTTCTTGTTCATTTTAGCAATGCCTTTCATACCCAGCGCCCAACCCACCAACATCACCACAGATCAATCCTCTCTTCTTTCTTTGAAATCCTACACCACCTTAAGTCCCAACCATACATTGGCAAATAACTGGTCAATCACTGCTTCTATTTGCAACTGGATTGGAGTTGTTTGCGGATCCAAACACCACAGAGTGGTCGCATTAGACATATCAAATATGGGTATTGTGGGTACCCTTCCTCCACAATTAGGCAATCTCTCATTTCTTGTTTCTCTTAACATAAGTCACAACAATTTCTATGGAAATTTGCCTAGAGAGTTAGTTAGCCTACGTCGGCTACAGTACATAGATTTTGGTTATAATAATTTTAGTGGAAAAATTCCAGAGGAGATTGGCAATCTTGAGAATGCAAAATGGCTGATATTAGAAGTTAACCAACTTGATGGTCCTATCCCCTTCACCATCTTCAACATTTCCACATTGCAAAATGTGGTCCTCAACAACAATAGCTTATCTAGCTCTCTTCCCATGAAGCTATGTCAACATGCTACCAGACTCAAAGTACTTCGCTTGTCTTTCAACAAGTTGAATGGTGAAATTCCAAAGAATTTATCAGGTTGCTCAGAACTTGAACAATTGCGGTTGACATACAACAATTTTTTCGGGACAATTCCGAGAGAGATTGGGAGCTTAAATATGGTTCAGATTTTAAGTCTTGGCAGTAACAAGTTAGAAGGTATGTTCCTGTAGGCATTTAGTTATTAGAGTAATGTGAAACCTATGAAAATATAGTGATCAAATTTAACAATTTTTAGTAATAATTCTAAACACATACACCCTATTTATGACTCATGTTTTAATTTTGTAGGAACAATACCCGAAACAATATTTAACATTTCTACACTAACATATATAAGCATGGAAAACAACAGTCTGTTTGGTATTCTTCCACCAAACATGTGTTTACATCTTCAAAACCTTGAAGAACTTTTCTTGTATAAGAACAAGCTATATGGAAACATTCCAAGAAGTATAGGTGAATGCTCTTCGCTTAAATACCTTTATATGTGGGGTAATCAACTAAATGGGTCGTTGCCAAGACAGATTGGAAATTTGACAATGCTAAAAGATCTTGAACTTGCTGAGAATTCATTTTCAGGTATGAAGGATAGATCTCTTCTTTTAAATTGTCTTACACTCTCAAAAGGTATAGTTTTTTATTGAGCTACAAAAAAAAGTTATTATAATGTAAATATAGGAAAAGACTCCATCATTACAACTACATATGTATATTGTATTCAATTCTTTTGTGACCTAACATAACTTGGGTAACTTGATCTGGCATGCAGGTGAAATACCAAGAGAGATTGGGAGCTTGAATATGCTTCAAATTTTAAGGCTCGGTAGTAACAACTTTGAAGGTATGTTCCTGTAGGCATTTAGTTATTAGAGTAATGTGAAACCTATGAAAATATAGCGATCAAATTTAACAATTTTTAGTAATAATTCTAAACACATACACCCTATTTATGACTCATGTTTTAATTTTGTAGGAACAATACCCGAAACAATATTTAACATTTCTACACTAACATATATAAGCATGAAAAATAACAGTCTGTTTGGTATTCTTCCACCAAACATGTGTTTACATCTTCAAAACCTTGAAGAACTTTACTTGTATAAGAACAAGCTATATGGAAACATTCCAAGAAGTATAGGTGAATGCTCTTCGCTTAAATACCTTTATATGTGGGGTAATCAACTAAATGGGTCGTTGCCAAGACAGATTGGAAATTTGACAATGCTAAAAGATCTTGAACTTGCTGAGAATTCATTTTCAGGTATGAAGGATAGATCTCTTCTTTTAAATTGTCTTACACTCTCAAAACGTATAGTTTTTTTATTGAGCTACAAAAAAAAGTTATTATAATGTAAATATAGGAAAAGACTCCATCATTACAACTACATATGTATATTGTATTCAATTTTCTTTTGTGACTTAACATAACTTGGGTAACTTGATCTGGCATGCAGGTGAAATACCAAGAGAGATTGGGAGCTTGAATATGCTTCAGATTTTAAGACTTGGTCATAATAACTTGGAAGGTATGCATGTTCATGTATTTGGCTACTAGAGTACTAAAACGATGAACATTAAAGATTTTTTAGTAAAAATTATAATACATATATATACAGTTCATATAACTCATGTTTTGATTTCATTTTGTAGGAATAATTCCAGAAACAATATTTAACATTTCTACACTAACTGTTATGGGCATGCAAAACAACAGTCTATTTGGCATTCTCCCACCAAACATGTGTTCACATCATCAAAAGCTTGAAGAGCTTTACTTGTATATGAACAAGCTATATGGAAACATTCCTGTGAGCATAGGTGACTGCTCTTCACTTGAATACCTTTATATGTGGGATAATCAAATAAATGGATCATTGCCTAGACAGATTGGAAATTTGACAATGTTAAAGGAGCTTCAACTTTTTGAGAATTCATTGTTAGGTATGGACGATGGAACTCTTTTTTTTTTTTTTTAATTGTTTTTCACTCTCAACACATCCAATTTTTTCTTCAGGTCCAAAATTAAAATAAAGATATTATAATGTAAAACTAGAAATAGACTCCATCATGACAACTATATTTTGATATTGTATTTGTTCAGGACATGTCTAGAGTAACTTGAATTGGCAATTTGGCATGCAGGTGAAATACCAAAAGAGTTGGGCAACCTTGATAAACTAGAGATCCTTAACTTGCACGAAAATGAATTAAGTGGTTCCATTCCTTGGGAAATCTTCAATATGTCAACACTCAAATCACTATCCCTTGTACTAAATAACCTTTCAGGTACTCTTCCAACATCTTTAGGTCATTGGCTTCCTAATTTAGAATACTTATACCTTGGCTCAAACTATATCGGAGGAGTTATACCTCCGCAAATCTCAAATGCTTCCAACCTTGTTCTTCTTGATCTTAGCACGAACCAATTCACAGGCTTCATTCCCAATTCCCTTGGAAACTTAGCACAACTCCAAAATCTAAAACTGTTTGAGAACAATCTAACAACTGATCCTCAATTTAGCCTTATAACTTCATTGGCAAACTGTAGATACATCAAAATCTTAGAATTGACATCTTTAAAGAATCTTGAGCTTGATGAGAATTCCTTTTCAGGTATGGACAATGGAGCTTTTCTTTATATTTATCTTCGACACAAGTTCTCAACACACATTCTTATTATTCAGCTGAAAGAAATATATTATAATGTAAATTTGAGAACAAATCAGATTACAACATGACAACTACGTATGAATATTGTATTTGTTTGTGACATCGGTAACTTGAATGTTATATTGACAGGTGAATTACCAAGAGAGCTGGGAAACCTTGATAAACTAGAGAAGCTTGAGTTGCAGAATAATGGATTAAGTGGTTCTATTCCGTGGGGAATCTTCAATATTTCAACTCTTGAAGTACTGGAACTGTCATTTAATGAGTTTTCAGGTACTCTTCCAACATCTTTAGGTTATTGGCTTCCCAATTTAAAAGGATTGTATCTTTGCGATACCAATATTGGAGGAGTTATACCTCCCCAAATCTCAAATGCTTCCAACCTTGCTGTTATTGAACTTGGCCAGAACCAATTCACAGGCTTCATTCCGAATTCCCTTGGAAACTTACCACAACTTCAATATCTAAGTCTGGCTGAGAACAATCTAACAACTGATTTTCAATTTAGCCTTATCAGTTCATTGGCAAACTGTAGATATATCCAAGAATTACAGTTAAATTCTAACCCTTTAAACGCTGTGCTCCCAAATGCAATCGGCAACCTCTCCCACACTCTCCAAATTTTGGACTTAGCAAATTGTAACATCAGGGGACAAATTCCACAGGAGATTGGCAATCTAAGCAGCTTATACGAGTTGAGTTTATGGTCCAATAACATTATAGGATTTTTGCCTATAACCATTCAAGCTCTTCAGAGTCTTCAGGCATTCATCATATCAGATAACAGATTAATAGGATCATTTCCAGATGTGATCTGTGAACTACCGAATTTGTTTTGGATAAACTTAGGCAGAAATAAATTTTCAGGTCCAATCTCTGATTGTTTAGGGAACATTTCTTCCCTGGGAAAGATCTATCTGTATGAAAACGAATTCACAGTCTTCCCTCCTACCCTATGGAGCATTAAACATCTTTTCATGCTCGACTTGCATTCGAATAACTTGAACGGTTCTCTACCTCAAGAAATTGGGAATGCAAAGATGGCAACTACTATTTATCTCTCAAATAACAAACTATCTGGAGAAATTCCGAGTAGTATTGGAGGTTTGACAGAGTTGATGCAATTTTCTGTTGCTAATAACACAATCCAGGGTTCTATTCCTGACACATTTGGCAAACTCCTGGATCTACATTCTTTAGATCTTTCTGATAATAATTTGTCAGGAACGATTCCCAAGTCATTGGAGGGACTTATAAGTATGAACTATTTCAATGTTTCGTACAACAAATTAACCGGAGAAATTCCAAGTGGAGGCCCTTTTGCCAACTTCACTTATGAATCGTTCTTGGGGAATGATGGTCTATGCGGTACTTCTCAGATGCATGTCCCACCCTGCCCTGCTAATAATCTGCATCAATCAATGAAGAACAGAGTGGCTCTCATTGTACTTGTCTCGTTGGCAGTTCTTATTGTGCTAATTGCCTCTGTTTCTGTGCTATGCATCTTCAAGAGGCACTCCAGGGGGGAGGTTCCAGAAGAACCAAACTTTCTGTTAGCAACAACTACAACAAGATATTCGTACTACGAACTCCAACGGGCAACAAATGGGTTTGATGAAAGCAACTCGCTAGGTAGTGGAAGCTTTGGATCAGTTTATAAAGGGATTTTAACAAATGGGATGCACGTAGCTGTCAAGGTTTTTCGTTTGGAACATGAAGGTTCAAATAGGAGTTTTGACAGTGAATGTGAGGTTTTACGCAACATTCGTCACAGAAATCTCACAAAGATACTTGGCAGTTGCTCCAACTTGGATTTTAAAGCATTGGTGCTACAGTACATGCCCAACGGGTGTTTACATAAGTGGTTGCATTCTCACAGTTATTTCTTGGATATGATACAGAGAGTGAGTATAATGATAGATGTGGCATATGCTTTGGAATATCTTCACTATGATTACTCCAATCCTATTATCCATTGTGACTTGAAACCAAGTAATGTCTTAATAGATGTTGACATGGTGGGGCATCTGAATGACTTTGGTGTTGCAAAGCTCTTAGGAGATGAGAATTCCATTGCCATTACAAACACCTTAGCAACAATTGGTTACATTGCTCCAGGTAAATGCTTTAATTTTATTTTATTTTTCACTTTTTGGATTTGGTTTTTGCACATACCATTCTGTAGTTCTTATGGTATCCTATTTAATTTTGCATTGCTTCTAGAGTATGGACAAGAAGGTCTTGTGTCCACCTGTAGTGATATGTACAGTTATGGTATCATGTTGCTTGAAGTTTTCACGAGAACTCAGCCTGCAGATGAAATGTTCAGTGAAGATTTAAGTCTAAGAAGTTGGGTGCACAACGCATTCCCTACGAATATTGGTCAGATCATGGACCCAAACTTACTTAGACTGGATGAAGAAAGTTACAATGAAAAATTGCAATGTGCGTTGGCTATCCTTGAAGTAGGCATGAAATGCTCAGCAAAATCCCCTCGAGAGAGGATGACCATCAAGGATGTGTTACCAGCACTGGAAAAGATTAAAGTTAAACTTGTTTTGCTGTATCCGAGAACTTGTAGTAGTATGCCACTACAAAAAACTGAATATTTAGCAACACACATTTAGCGACAGTTATATATCACCATTGCTAAAGATTTATTTAGTGGCAGTTGCAACAACCGCTACTCTTTTTGCAATGAAACATCATTTCTAAAATGTTAGTGGCGAATGTCAAGCCACTCATCTCCGCCAGGCCAGGCTCTGACTCCCGGTACGTATAATGGCATAATTGTTTCTTCAACTTGAACCTATCCTTCCTGGCATGCTTTATCATACTACTACTACCTGTACATATTAGATTAGTAGTCTTTATTGAAGTTTTCTGAGACTGCTCATATAATTTATGCTTGGACTCTACATGATGCCTTTATTTCTTTCATTTCTTTGATTTAGGTAATTGCTTGCAAATGGGCTCTCGAGTATGCCTACAAGGGAAGAAAAAACTTTCTCACAACAGAATAGTTGGATTTCCGGTACTTTGAAAGTTTCTAAAAAAAATTAAAGTAATTGTAGACTCTTTGAAATCATGTGTATAAACTTCTATTTGATGGTAAATCACAATCTTAAGTGAATAAATATTCATATTCTAAAATTGTTTAATATCATAAGCATATGCTTTCAAATTCCATTCCTCATCTATGATTCATTTTGCAATTGAGTTAATTAACCTTTGACTGAAAGTTTTGAGCCTCCTGTTGGTTTTGTTGGATAAATAGGTGGAAGTGCTTCTTTGTAAGGCATGATAAAAGTTATCTATTGCGTTATAATATTAGTGTGTAGAGATTGAAACATGAGGTGAAAGTATATTGGCATTTAGATGGCAACTTTAGTAGAATACTTTGGACATGGACAACAGAAACACAAGTTAGAGTTTGTGTTATTATTTACTATATATTCTAAATTGCTAAAAACTTTCTAGTTCGAAGACTTTGCAAATTAAACCACAATGCTTTTGATCTGCTAGCAAAGTATCGTACTACACATCTTGTGTTTAATGATGATATACAGGTAATATTTCCTTGTATGATTCAAGAGCTTTCTTATTCTACTGGCACCTTGTGTTCAATGATTCAAGAGCTTTCTTGTTGACACATTTCCCTCAGTTCTCAATGCTACATAATTATATCACAAGGAACATCATATGTTGTCCTTGCTGGGCTCGTTTCAGCTTTGGAAGTACTTGGTGGAGCGTTAATTGACCAAACTTCTTGTTCCTAGGCGCCGGAGAGGTAAGCTTGTTCATCTTTTGATGAATTTTTACAATGCTAGAATTATACAATTGTATAAACCACATTTTGTTTAAACCATTGAAGCTTGGAACTGGAATAGTTGAGCTTATTGCACTTGAAATTTCAGTGAAGGTACTAAATTGTGTCTCGTTGTCGTAGTTTCATTTCACTTTCTTTCCCTTTTGGTTTCTCAATATTCTTACTGCCTATGTAACTTTTGCAGTCAGGGGTTAAGTTAGATGAAGTTCGAAAAAAGATTTGACTTGTCGACTCATCAAAGGCACTTGCACTGATCTCATCAATTTTGACTAGCTTCATAATAATGTATATTTTTTTTACTGCTGCCATGAACTTGACCTTTTTCACCAATAAAACTTGTTTGCTTTTATATCAGGAACTGATTGTGAGTTTTCAATTAGAAATGCTTCATCACTTGAAAAGGCCTTGGGCTCAGAAACACGAACCAGTCAAGGATCGGAACTCATCGACCATATCAATGTGAGTTCATAGTGGCTAACAGAATTAAAAGAATATAGTCATCTTCACTTATGTTGTGTTTTATCTTGTTTCAAGCAATAAAGCTTACAATTCTAATCGGAACTTCAGGAATTAGAAGAGCATTTGCCTAGGAGAGCCTTGGATCACAATCTGAATAGTGGAGTTAAACCCCATTCTGTAAACATTTGTGTTATTTTGTGTCCGCATATTTGCTGGTGGAGTGCCCGTGTAGTTGAAAGGAATTCGAGGCTTCCCAAGAAAATCATCGGTGAAAACTCCACTTATGTTATAGTAATGAGCTTGAAGGAGAGTTGTAGTAGCAGGCATGACAAAGTTGTAGTAAATTTACACTTAGCTTCTATTAATAAAGAAGATAAAGATGCAAGTATAGATATTTTAGGTAAAAGTACTTTTCAATGTTGAAAAAATCGCTAGGCGCCTGGGAACCGCGCCTAGGCGGGCACCTAGGGCGCCTAGTAGGCCGACCGCCTAATCGGTACCTAGGCGCGATTTTTGTAACACTGGTACTTTTTAGTTATGTATGCAATTCAAATAATATATATGTAGACTTTTGTACTTGAATATTTTTTGATGTTTTTATTTGACAAATATTTGTTACAATTGATGTTCTTCTAAATTGAATGTGTATACAAAGTTAGTTTGTGTATACAGAATGTGGTATACATAGTAAGTAGAAATATATATAATTTAATGAGGATCATAAAAATAAAATGAAAATTTTAGTGGCGGTTCGAAAATATCATAATTATTAGATTAGAAAATTAAATAAAATATTTATCGGCGGTTATGTAAGTGTCGCTAAATCCTAAACAAAAATAAATAATTTTTCGTGGCAGTTCAAAATCAATGCTAAATGAAGCCAAAGCCGCCGGGAAATGAAGTCAAAGCGTTGCTATCCATTTCAGTCTACTTGGCATTGTCAATGAAGTCGGTTGGGTCTTTCTTCAATTGCTGCTACGCAGTTATCTTTCCTGAGAACTGCTTTCATTCTCATTTTCCACAATGACAAATTGTTCCCATTGAACTTTTCAATCTCATACTTTGATGCCATTGTAAGTGGTGTTCTTGATTTAAATCATGAACGATATATTTAAATATTATCGTATAATAGAACACTACTAGTCTTGTGAACAGTACACCAAGAAAATACTTCTGGAGAAGAAATGTGAGTCACAAATGGACTGCTTAAATACCAAGTCTTAACCAGAGTTTTTCCTAGACATGTACAATCACATTACCATAATGGTTCTAACATAAACGAAACAAGAAAGATATATCAATGAACAAACCTGGGCTCCGATACCACTTGTTAGGATCGATACGGGTTCACAACACCTAATTACAATGGCAACTTGGGCTGGAAATATTAAGAATATTTCTAGTGTAAGATTTAGAATAAATCACACACAATAAGACAATTTTGAAGAAGGATTTTTGTATTGGCAAAAGAATATTACAATAGGAGTTACCATATAACTCTCTCTAAAGAAACTTTGTTATGCTAAGCTTTGCTATCTAATGGGATAGGATGAGATTGTGATGTCTTACAATGAAGAGGGATTGCCTATTTAGAGCATCTACATCAGAGGAGAAATGGGGGAGAATTCACTACTTTTGATGCTAAAATGCCATGGTGGCAGAGAGAGAATCAAGAGAGAGAAGGGGTGAGGAGCATCTGCAAATGTTGGGATATTACTCTGCCCAAGAAAAAAAATTAATGATGGAGGAAAGAGAACCAATAGAGAAATGACATGCTTATTTTTTATATATTTTTTTTATAAAATCAGTTTTGATTTTTTTTTTCCCTCCCCTCCCACATTATTCTCTTTCCTACTCACTCTTACATTCTCCCCCTAATATCTCCAACTGATATGGATGCTCTTATAGCAAACCCAAGTGAACATGAGTCATAGATTTGTTTCTAGAGATTTACAATTCTAGTTGCAAACATTAAATGCTAACATACCTCATTAAATGCAAATCTACTCTTCTCAAACCTAACTCATTAAATACAAATATCCACATTTGACTTTATTGAGTTATTCTTCACAGCTGACATGTTGGGACATCTGAGTGACTTTGGTGTTACAAAGCTCTTAAGAGATGGGAATTCAATTGCCATTACAAACACCTTAGTAACAATTGGTTACCACTAGTACAAAAAAAGCTTTTAGAGTCACCCATAAAACACTTTCCGAGTCACCCATAAAACACTTTCCGAGTCACCTGTACATGTGACTCGGATGTGAGAGACTGTGATTCTCCTCCGCTTTCCGAGTCACCCGTAAAGGGTGACTCGAAAAGCGGAGGATATTTTTTTTAATTTTTTAATACAGAGTATCCGAGGCACCTGCAGCGGAGCAGGTGCCTCGGATACTCATTTATTAATATTATAATATTGCTTTTCCGCGACACCTCTGACATGAGGGGTGCCGCGAAAAGCTTTTATATTTTTTTAATATTATTACTTTCCGCGTCACCCTACGCCGAGAGGGTGACACGGATTTATATATATATATATATATATATATATATATATATATATATATATATATATATATATATATTAATATTTTATTTAAAAATTGAATATTACCCAATTTTATTGATTCAACCTGTACAAAATTTTCTAAATTCACCAAATGCACACAAAATTTTATCAAAAAAGAATAACAATTAATTAAACTATCTATAAATATTCAACAATAATTAAATTAAAATCAACTAATAATTAACACTAATAACTATAAACCCAAACACAACAATATATATAATTCACAAGTAATAATCAACACAATAAAATACCACAATACACTTATAATATCAACACAATAAAATACCACAATACACTTATATATAATATCAACACAATAAAATACCACAATACACTTATAATATCAACACAATATATAATAACAATCAACACTACATTCAAATATTAATATAATAATAATAAAATATCTGAGGCACCTCTTTATAATTGGTGCCTCGGAAAGTTCCCCCTTTTTCTATCCAAGACACCTTCACCTTGAAGGTGTAGTGCAAAGTACTACTTATATGTCCAATTCTGTAGTAGTGTACATTGCTTCAGGTAAATGTTTCAGTTTTTTAACTTTCTCAATTTGATTTCAACATTCACCACATAACATTTTTTTTTTTTTTGGTATATCCAGGCCGGATTTTCACTGTCGGACATAGTGACTATTCCCTTTCGCTAAATTGTAGACACTTCTTTTGGATGGGATAGCTAGTTTGTCACATAATGTTATGCATTTCTAATGGTTTCCTATCAAAATTTGCACTCCTAGAATATGGACAAGAAAGTCTTGTATCCACACATTCTTATAAGTAACAAACAACTTATTATTCATGATTAGTATTATATTTTTCAATTAAATATTAATATTGTGCCTCTTGAGCCGACCTGTCTCATAGAACCATGAGATGGTATCATATGACTCACCCTCTTTTTCTCGGGTTTATTTGTCTGAAGAGGAAGCGGAGACTTTGACCAAAATTAAGACACTAAAGACTTAAAAAGAAAAGGAGACTGGCTTTACTATCCACAGGGTAAAGCACGCCAATCCTGCTTCCAGCGTCTATAGTGCGTTTTGGACGGGGAATTATTGTGACCAAGACTTTGCCATGTTCTTCATCCTAACATCTAATGTTCTTCCTCCAAACTAGTGGATGACGAAGACCATTGCGGACTTTGTCCAGGCTGTAATATAATTGGAAAGAAATTAAAAAAAAAACAAAAACAAAAAACAAAAGAATATAATCATGGTTCGTCATGAAATTCTTATGATTAAACAGTGATATACCAATAAATTGTGGATATGAAAGATTAAATATTATTCCCTTAATGGGTTTGCTCAGTTATTCTTATCAAAATGTAGAACTTCTTTTGTAATTTGTTCAAATGTATCCTTCATAATTGTCATACGAATTATCAATTCTAGTTCCTCACGTGACAAAAGCCCCTAACAATTTTGAAAATTAAGAGTTCTTTGTTTTTGTTTTTGTTTTTGTTTTGTTTTGTTTTTGTTTTTTTTTTTTAAATTCGATTTGCTCTATGTATACCTTTTTGTCATCAAGACATATACTTCACTTTACAAATTTTAATTTACTTTCATATTGTATTTTATATTAATTTTTTTTTTCACTTTTGGTCTCACAAATATAAACCATTTTCTTATTTGATTCCTAACTATTAATTTTTCTTTTTCATATTTAATCTCACAATTTTTAAATCTTTACCACATTTGGTAACTCCAACCAATCTAAGTAATATCAACACACTTCAAGAAGTAAAACTTACACTTAGTCAAAATCTATGCCTTGAAATTAAATTATTTGATTGAGAATCACAAAAAGATAAATTAGATTTTCTTAAAAATAAATAAATAAATTAGATAGTTATTATTAAAGGATCCAAAAAATAGCCATGCATATATGTATTGCGTTTGGGACGGAGGATATGTAGTCCCTTGCACGGGGCTCAAGACGAAGGTTGACAAATTCTAAAAGTAGTTATGAACATATATTGCATACATCAACAATATACAAATGATATTTCACCACACATCATCACTCAATATCTCATCTAACTTTTCAAATTTTATTTATCAGTATTATACTTATATCATGGAAATAGTAGTAGATAATTACAGTAATATTTAGACCAAAGAGTGTTATAAAGCTTTCAAACTAAAAAAATAAAAAATAAAAAAATTATTCAAGTCCTTGAAACCCTGCAAAAAAATAAAAAATGCAAGTAGTATATAGTCCTATTAGCAAGTGAATAATGTATTATGGCGCTTAATTACTTAAGTACTAATTTTGATTCCATGTTACTTTCCCTCATAA